GCTCACAGCAACCTCCAACTCCTAGGCTTAAGTGATTCTCTTGCCTCTGCCTCCCAAGTAGCTGGGACTACAGGTGCCTGCCACAACACCCGGCTATTTTTTGGTTGTAGTTGTCATTGTTGTTTGGCAGGCCCGGGCTGGATTCGAATGCAGCAGCTCTAGTGTATATGGCTAGCACCTTAGCCACTTGAGCTATAGGTGCCAAGCCTCCAGAGGAAATTTTAACAGTTGTAACAATGAAGGTTGTATTTTTCCTACTATTTATATAATGAGAAACACATTTGACATCTTATATTAGAGACCCAACTCCAGCCAGAATAGAGGTAAAAATATTAGTGAGTGGCAAACAGAATCTACCAGGGAAGTCTGCAAAGTGTGGGGAGTTTGTGTTGTTGGAGTTTTATTTTGTTTTTAAGGGAAACAAAAACACTTTTTACATTTTCCAGGCCTTCTCATCATCGTGATTGTTTTATTAGGAAACCAAATTACACATCAAACTATGAGGAGCTCAGTAAATGGTACTCAAAGTGTTTCATGTACTGCACTCTGACACTAGTCCCATCTATCACCCATCTTTCAAGTCTTAAAGACACCCACCCCATTCTGGTCTGTCAAAGTGAGCAGTATCAGGGTGTTTTCCTAGGAATGAATTGGATGTCCATCCTTAAACTGTGCAAAGCCCTCAGCTCATTTACCATCCTGCCTTTTCTAGTTTATATTTTCAGTTTTTCCTTTTTCTCATTTTCTCTATTTAACCAATATTTATGAAGTGCTTAGGAACTACATGTAGTCGCTCTGACTACTGGGCACTGGGACTGAAGCTAGTACAACAAATTTATAAAGATTACCCAAGACTTCTATAATAATTTACGTTTGCCCACTGATATATTTTAGAAAATGTTTTGATAATCCTCATGTCTGTGTCTCCCATGACACGGGCCCTGAATCGAAACATTATGCACACAGAACCTCTATTACCCTATTTTGTGACATCATCAGCTGTTTAATAATGTATTAATCTCTGTCTTTCTATGTTTCCTTCCTTTCTTCCTTTCTCTCTCTCTTTCTTTCTTTTTTTGAGACAAAGTCTCACTTTGTTACCCTTGAGCTCACAGCAACATCCAACTCTTGGGCTCAAGCGATTCTCTTGCCTCAGCTTCCCGAGTAGCTGGGACTACAGGCGTCCGCCACAACACCTGGCTATTTTTACACACAGGGTTTCACTCTGTCTCAGGCTGAACTCAGGCAATCCACCTGCCTTAGCCTCCCAGAGTGCTAAGATTACAGGAGTGAGCCATCCTCCCTTGCCCCTTACTGTCTTTCCAAAGTTTTGGTTCTGCGAGTATTTCTGAGTCATGATTCATCCTCACCCAGGGTGACAGGTGAAGAGCAAGTTAAGAGAAGTATATCACCAGGACTTCTAGTTCTCAACTTTGGTCTCTTCAGAGGCTTTTAAAAACAGGTATCTTTGGGAGCATATTTTAAGTTGATTTTTCTTTTCTTTATACATTTCCTTGTTTCTCACATTTCTATAGTGATTGTGAGGTATTCTTATCAGAAAGAAATTGCAAAACATGAAAAATGCCTTCATCCTTGATGGTACTCAAAGCCTAAGTTCTACCTCAACTCCACATTTTAAATTTTTACAAAATAGGGACACACACAACTAGATAAAATTGGGACAGTCTCTCAATACTTCTGTCACTTGTTTTGTTTTTCCTGAAAACAATATTTTTCTAGATTATATATACACATACACATATGTTTATTTTATATATATTATATTTATTATTTTAATACTTTTGTCACGTGTTTTGTTTTTCCTCAAAACAATATTTTTCTAGATTATATACACACACACACATATATTTATTTTATATATATTATATTTATTTATTTATTTTAAGACAGTCTCACTCTGTCACCCAGGCTACATTGCCATGGTATCAGCCTAGCTCACAGCAACCTTAAACTCTTGGGTTCAAGCGATCCTCTTGCCTCAGCCTCCCAAGTAGCTGGGTCTACAGGCACCTACCACAATGCCCAGGTAATTTTTCCACTTTTAGTAAAGACAGGGTCTATCTCTTACTCAGGCTGGTCTGGAACTCCTGAGCTCAAGGGATCCTCCTGTCTCACCTCCCAGGTTGTTAGGATCACAGGTGTGAGCCACTCAGCCAAGATAGTATATAATCTTTATTAAAAAGGTACAAAATGTGGAGAAAGTTAATTCTCTCAGCAACTACATTGCACAGAAACCATCACTGTGAACAATTTGGTATATATCTTTTAGGACTCAGGCAGATATCAACTTGCATATTTTCATACTGATAGAAAAAGATATAAATATTTGACAT